TCAAGCCTAAGTGAACTATGTCCATGTGCATGCACAAACTCATGGTACAAACAGTGAACCAGTTAATTTTCTGGGGAAAACTACACTTACATTAACTGAATTTTTAATCTGCTTCCCAATGTGAGGCAAATTTATGGAACTATTCTGCATTGCCTCTAGTTCCTTGGTGTTTATTTTTGCCTGTAGTCTGAATTGAGAACCAAAATCTTTGAACAGAGTTGGGAGGAAAGGATGACCTCTACTACTTTATGACCTCTACCTCTAAGAATTTGTGAACAAGGAGCTTTGACTATCCAGATTCCATCAACTTCCTGTAGTATGCTATTTTAAAATGTTCTGTGAGTTGTTGAATGGATATATCTGACTGGTAAGAAAAAAGGATCAGCAGTCCACAACCCAAGGAGAGGGAGGGCGGGCAAGTCCATATAGCTAGAGGTTAGCATATAGCATCCTGAAGTTCTGTACAAAGACTACATAAATTGGGGAAATTGTAGAGGGCTGTGGACTAATTTTCAACCATCCCTACAACACAGAAGATATCCACAGAGAATATGTTCCAGGGTGGGAGCCTTTCTTAAGAATTTTTTTTTTTTTTTTTTGGCTCTAATGCTTCAATATGTTGTCTTGAGGGTGCAATTATGTCCATGGATATTTAGTTGTTGCAGTGAGATAATGGCATAATTCATTGAGCATGTCTCATTTAATTCAGAATTTTGGCACTCTTTTCCCCTATCATTCCACAATGAAAAAAGCAGCAATTTAGTTGAGGAAAACAAATGAAAGTATAAATCATGAAGTGAAAATGGCTTAGGGCAGCCAAAGTTCCCCAGCAAGGTTTGCTATAAATACAAGTTAATTATAATTGTCTGAGACATGATGGAGGTATGCCTGTATCTTTTACAAGAAATCCAGTTGGATATAACTACTAATACAAAATATTTTTTAAATTCAAGCTGAACTGTAATTTCTATTGCACTGTGATCAAATGTATTTGTTCTAAGTTTCATTATGATGTTCTCATCTGAGAAGGCTATGATCAGGCAGAGTTTCTCTTCTTTCTTTCACTCCACCTTACATGGATAGGATATAAATTTAATGACCTTTCTGTTAAATTAAATAGTGAGAAATATCAACTGTGTTTCCTACTGAGCTGTATTCCTCCTCAGAGAACCTGTTTTCCAGTCTTTAGAGGAAGCAATTCCAACCCTCTTCCATAACTGGAGTTAATGAAATCCACCAGTATAATTTGAAGAATTACTTTCCTGTATTCATGCAGGGTCCTGGTGCTTGTCAACAGGGTGGTACAGCAGAAGATTGCTTGGCATTTTTGCCCAGCAATCAAAATTCAGCCAAGCTGCTACCAAGAGAAATAATTTTAGAAAAAGAAAGGCAAGCTGTTACAGACCTGAGTTAGTGAAAAGAAGCCTTGTTCTGACTAGAAAGGAGCAGAATGGTTTTGTGTTAATGAAAATAGTCTGAAGTTGACACCCGACAATATTTTAAAATTGAAGTTTTAAATCCTTGTTTCTGCAGGTTAGGGACATGAGCTGTAAAGCAGTAAACAACTACACTTGACAGTTCATCACTGATCAGTGCTGATATGTCAAGCCAAGTAAAATCCTTTGTGGGAGCAAGTCAATAATCAGCAAATTAGGTACATGATTAACCTGAGACAACAAGATGCAGTTCCTGTCTGAGAACCCTGCTGAGATTTAACCTTCTCAGTATTACTGTTTAGCAAATATTCCAAATGCCTGGTTTAGTCAGTCAAACTGATGTAGCTGTAAACTTGTCTAGAAGCAGCCTTGTATGCCATGTGCATAGGGAATGGAGCTCTAAAAGAGCGGTAAAAATGCAGTTTTGAGTGGCAAGCAGACTAGAAACAGGAATGCATTGCTTTCAAGCAAAATTCTTCCAACCTGTGTAGTACTACACAGAAATAACAAAATACACATTGCTTAATTGATCAATGGGAAATTAGTAGAAGATAGTCATATTAATAAAATTGATAATGTATAGAAAATTAACTGTAAATGTCAAATAATGCATGAAGGGACTTTACAGATATTACAGCAATTATGATGTTACCACACACTGCATGTTGATAGAACATTCCAAATGACATGAAATAAGGTAACCTTATAGAAACATCACTGTGATGTCTGAAGAAGGCAGTTCATGGAGTTGTATTGTTTTCTTTTCCAGCAGAGTGATTTATACTTACAAATTTTTCATGTCAAAATGGAAACTGTTTTAATTTTCATTTAGAACAGGAAATGGCATTATATCAAATAACTTGAATAGCTGAGGAACTTCAGTGTTACCTTGTTTTTAGCAAGTGCTCAAACACATTTAGGTGCTCTGACCACCTTAAAGCTACCTGATGGCAACTGTGCTGGTGTTACCGAATGCTGTGCTGCATTGTACTGGTTGTGTTGTGTCACATTCAAATGTTGAAACAAATTGGTTTGCTGTCACTGAGGGTATCAGATGTTTCATGGGTGTATTTTAATGAATAATTACCAACTGGATTTTATGAAGAACTAATTTTAAAGCACTTTGCAAAAAAGTTTCCCTGACATATGTTTTCTTGGCTGCTTAGGTCTTACAGGGCTCTGGCATAAAGACAGGTGCTAGCCACAATGCCAAACATGTTGTTTTCCTTTTTTTTTTTTTTTTCTCTCCCCCTCCATTTGAATATGCATCCATTATTACAACAAGAAATCTAAGAAGTCTTTCTTTTCCATTCCTAATTTCAAACACTGTTAGAAATTTTGTGGAGGCATGCAAATAGTTTCAAATCTTAGAAAAAAATATTATGAAGGCTCTCTGCATTTTCAGTCTTGACCCCTGCAGGCTCTCTTTGCTTTGCCATGCTTTCACAACTAGTTCACTTCCTGCATACAGCTGGGCTCAGTCGATCTGTGCTATATTGTGCAGTGTAGTCGCTACTGTATAGATACGAGTTCCAAACCTGCCTTGCTGGCTCCCCATGGTTACTGGAAAAATAAAGTCCTTATTAGCCTATGAGTAAAATGCATTGGAGGATAGAAAGCACTGAATTAAGAAATTAAAAAAACATTGCCCAGAAATAACTTAGTATGAGATTTAGGTTTGTAAATAAAGGTATGCAGCATGGTTTTGGTATGCTGTGTAGTAAAAATAAACTCTCTGAGAGTGTGAATTTGGAATTTGTTTAGAGAAGTAGATTGGCAAGTCACTTGCTTATATAGAGCTTTAATCATAGTAAGTACTCCCCTCTGCAGAATTGAACTCTGAAGATGGAGTCATTTGGGAATTCTGTGCATTTTGTTTCTGAGCAGTTTTTGCCATTTTTGTGTGACTGTCAGTATGAAGCCATTTAATATAAAGGATCATAAAGCAAAAAAAAAGGTCAGTGAAATTTCTAAATAACTTCAGAGATTTAGCTTGGTTTTACAGATCCATTCCCTAATTCATGTGATTTAGCTCTCTTCCTTAGCAGTTGTGTGTGTTAGATTAAAAGTTCCACAGTTGCTTCTTAGTGACCATGAAAGTACTTTCATTCTTTTTCTAGATGGGTCTTCTAATCTATGCATATTTGTCAATAAGTAGCTTTAAACCAAGAGTGATATCTTCAGCACATTATATAAAAGTGATAAATCATGCAAGTGTTGTAAATCAAGAAATCAACAGGACCACAAGAAACAAAATTATGATTCAGCCAACCAAGTGAAGAAATCTTAATCCGATTATGAATTCACAGTACCATTTTGGTGACCCTTCAGAATCAAGGATTTTAGATTTTAGGGTACATATACCTGGTACTTGCTGACACATTAAGATTTGTACACCCAGGGAACCACCAGCAGATACATTATCTTCCTTCTTTTTAACTCAGTCCTAAGGAATCCAAACAGGGATAAAAATGTATTGTTTTTCTCTGTATCAGTTTGCACCGACACTTCACCATTCATAAAGTTCTTCAGATTTAGTAATTTTGGTTTTGCCTAAGCTTGAAATAGTTCTTCATAGCTTGATTAAAGAGGGGCAATACCAGTCTTAACTTTATGAAAGTTAAAATGGTAGCCTTGTGGGGAGTCATGCCGATGGACCTGCTCTCACTACGTCACACCCCATCATTGTGAAAAGAGATTCTACGGCTAAAACTACTTCAAGCAGTTTCAGCCTGAATAGTCTTCCCCTTCGATCTTGCCAACTGCTGAGCCTCCTCTACTATATGAGGTAGAATCAGCATCAAACAGAGGGGAGGCAGAGGAACCTGTCAGCACAAGCAGAGACGAACAGCATGTTGCCAGTGAGAAATGTCAGCTTTTATTGCTACTTCCTTAGTTGACCCTTTGTGAACAATTGTTCTGAAGAGCAAGATTTCTTTTTCCCAAGGTGTTGCCCAAGTAATAACATTTCCCAAGGAGATGATGAGTCTGTCCTTAACCTCTGACTGCTAGACAATAGGTTTTAGCAATTTTTCCAAATGTCATTGATTTAAGAGAAAGATATACGTGTGTTTGGCACCTCTGATTCTCTGAAAGTTACTGACATGCCAGAATTCTCTAAATCTCTGCCATGTGTTGGCTTAATTGTACTAATTTACCTGTTTTACTTTCTCCTGCAAAAATCATGTGTGAAAAAAGGGTCAAGTGGATGGCAATCTGATATTAACTGTTGGTGAAACTTTTTGATCCACTTCTCTTTCCCATGATTAAAGGCAAAGGAAGGAGTGGATAACGCACTCACTGTGACAGTAGCTTTCAACGTTAGTAGACCTGGGCTCAAATTTGTACCCTGCCATGTATTTCCTTTGTGGCTGCATATTGTTGTCAGGTCCATGTTTTTAACAGGAAGGTACTAGTACTTACATACTTTTCCCTTTGTTGTAAGGCCAAGGACTCTATATTGCTCATGTATAACTGTTACAAAATTTCAAACAGGTCAGCTTTAGATAGATGTGTAGCATGGCCTTAAAGTGTTAAATCAGTCTGTCTGTCTGTCTTTTCTGCTAGAAGAAAGAATCTTCATTGTTTTAATTGCATATTGTGTGTCATTTGCTAGAACTCACTGTTAGTGAGTGAAATACAGTGTGCAAGACAGCCCTCTGTGGATGTTTAGTCTGTTTAAGAAGCAAGATTACAGTTTTCTCTTTAAACTGAAAGTAAATAAAGGTTTATGTTTTCTCAGTGCTGTTACAAGAACAGACTCTATATGCTAGAGATAACAGAGGAAAATGCAATGAAACTACTAGCAGGCAAGCACATACTATTACTATATTTTATTGAACACATACATCTTTCTTTAGACATGTCTTTCTATCTCTATCTACTCCTACACAGATAAATGTGTCTAAAACAAGATGTGTTTTCATAGGGGACTTGTTATACAACTATCAAAAGGTTAGATAGATTGTTTTTGTTGTTTCTTAAGGGCTTTCCTTAGATAGGAACCATGAGAGCCGATAAGTTGAGTATAGCATCAGCTTGAGAGTTCCGGAATCACAGACGTTAAAGACAGAAGAAAAGCCTATTAGGACAGATAGTCTAGTTGCTTTGTTATGCAGAGTTATCCAGTGTTGTAGATTAACCAATATTTCTTCCAGTCCTGTTTAACTGTGTAATACAGTGGCATCTCCACTGGGAGGCTATTACTGAGCTTAATATACGGGAAGCTTATCTGACATTCATCTTAAATTTCTTTCTTTCTTTTTTTAGTTTCATGCCATTAATGATGGCATCCCTCTTATACTCTAAATAATCACTTGCTCTGTTTGATCCCTTTTCCAAAGATTAATGTAATGTTCTACCTTATTTGGAAACCACCCAACCAGAAAATCTCAGTTTTCCTAAATATAAATTCAATTCCTTCAGCCACTTGATTTGTGTTATTCCTTTCCATGCTCACTCTGGTTTTTGTATTCTACTTGCACCTGATTGTTCTGTGTACAAAAACTCAGGTAAGCAACTCTTACTCTGTGATGTCAAACTTGTACAGTGTATTTTTATCAAGTGCTGAGTTACCTAACATTAGACAAACACATTTCCTGTTTGTGCTGTTCCTGTTTGTTTTCATGTTCTGGGGGCTTCCATTCAATTTTATGACTGAAGCTACATCTGAGACTTCTGTCCCTCTTGCAGCAAGAATTTATTCTAGGCGATTGCTTAGACAAGAGTGTGTGTCTCATAGGTTGAAACTTTCCAGCTTTGAAGGCTGTGTATGAGCCTGAACTTCGATGGGTCAAATAACTGATTTCAACTTCTTTATCAAAACCTAGCCTGTCAAGAAATGCTATTTGTACGTTTTTTGATCACCTATGCAGAACGAAGATGCATAATTCTATGTCACTGTTTAAGAAAGGGTAAGAGTCACAATCTCTTTGTATTCTATAGTTGACTAGTAAATTTTAGTTTCACATTGACATATCTTCCAGAAATACCATTTTATGACAAGGTAGAAGAGAAAATATAGTGTGAGATTTTGAGATGAAATATCATTCTTTATTCAGGTCTGTTTGGGGTTTTGTTTGTGTTCTTTTTTTTTTTTTTTTTCTTTCCTGTTTTTTTACCCTGCAGTATGATTTCATGGAACGCTTGGATGGGAAAGAGAAATGGAGTGTGGTGGAGTCCCCACGGGAACGTCGAAGTATTCAGACCCTTGTTCAGAATGAGGCTGTGTTTGTTCAGTACTTGGATGTGGGTTTGTGGCACCTGGCATTTTACAATGATGGCAAGGACAAAGAAGTTGTCTCTTTCAGTACAGTCATTTTGGGTAGGTATCTCCACCAGCTGAGCATTTCTCTTCTCTGTTTATACCTTCCCTACTTAAAGTCATAATGCTTTCTTGCAGTCTTCAATATTTGGCCAGTTTATCCTTATGTTATGTTGTGCATTTTATTTCTCAACACTGCTCTGTCAGAAAACCTGTAAAGGGGTGCTGAGTGTAATTTGCTGATTTCTCTTTTAAGATTTTAGCATTCTCGTAGATCTTGAGTTTAGTTCTGGAAAACGAGACTCAGATAAGTTCAGTCTGGGTTGAAGCATTCCCTAGTTAATATTCCTCTCCCTTATCTCTGTCATTTTTACACTACTTATTTGCTTCTCTGGAGAAGCTTCTTTACACCCAGGTGGAATTGTATCCAACAGGAGAGCTGTTTAATCTTAGTAGAAAGACAGCACAAGAAACTGATACCTGCGAATGAGGTTATTGTTTGCAGTCACCCCAGAGATTGAGTCAGTTAATTAGCTATATGCTGTTTTGCAGCTTGCTACTCACCTAATAATGGGTCATGTCCTCAACATGTTGGAATCAAGAGCAGAAGAACATCTAGCCTGTGATCTGAGAAGCCTGCAGTTTTGTTGGAAGAATAGGGTTACATTTAGTTGAAAATCAAACCGAGTCTAAATTCTCCAAGTTTTATTAGAAGATTTGATGAACTTTGAAGCACTTAATAAACTTCACTAATATCTTGTCACAGTGGAATGAAAAAATTCTGAGATAGTCTATGGGCTATTCTGTCCTGGCTGGTGAAGAGTTAACTGACCCTATATTTTATAAATCTGTAATTCCTGTTAGTTTAGGGAAAGTGAAACTGCAAAAAGTCCAAGTGAGTTTTTAAACTTGATGAAAAATAGTTGGAGGTCTTTTCCAGTCTTGCCTGATTAGTGATTTGAAGCTTAATTTTTTCCTTTTACATTAGTTCAGTTTGTTGGCTTATGTCCCAAAGGGTGTAGGAAGATAGCCAGTACTGTGTCGTGAAGTATGAATACAATTGTTTCTGTTAACCTCAGTTAAGATGAAAAAATTATTTTTATTCCATAGATTATATATGGTTTTGTAAGAGTTACTAGGTGTTATGCATGTTGATATATACATTTGTGTATTTGCCCACAGAAGGCTTTTTTTTCTTCTCGAATAACAAGAACATTTGTGCTTATATCTTGTTATGCCCCTGTTGTGCTTAGAAAACCTTCAGATATGATAAGCTGTCCTTAAAAGAGTTTCCTGGTCTAGGCTACAGCTTTCAAGAACATCAAAGGTCTGATAGTCAGGTAGACTACTTGATAGTGCAATAATAGTAATTGGACTGAAATGTAGAGAAAAGTATAGTGTTTTATCCAGTTCAGAGGTTCTTCTACACACAGCTAGTATCAGACGTTTCATAATCAAAGGATCTGAGACAGCTGAAAGTTTCTCTCATGTGGAAGAAGAGAAAGAATAACAGAAATTGTTAACTCTCAAACAATACTAAATTTACCATGATTTTGAATACATAGAAAATGCTTTTGTGTGCCATGAAGCAAAATAATGAATAAATCTATAGACAGGCTTCTTCATGAGACAAATTGATATCTTTGAGCATTACTTTTCAATTTTTGTTTTCATTGTTTACAGGAATCATTTCAAGAGGCCAGGCTAATGACATCTCTTTGAAAATTTGCTTCAGTGTTTTTTTTATTTAGTGTCCTGCAACTGTGAAATTAGATTTAAAGTTGTGCTTGAATCTTTTTCCTCTTTTCAGTTTGATTTGACAGAAAAATACTCTGTATGGTTCTGCTAGTTCCAAATCCAAAATTCATTTTCTGTGTCATACAACTGCTATTTGTTTGGTTCCTGGGACTGACAGAGCCATTTAGTTTGGTACCACAGGTCCCGCAACAACAGGGAGTAATAGTGAGGAGTAACAACATTCAAATTAGATTTTTGTTCCAATAATTTAGTGTTGAAAATATGCTCCACTGAAATCCAATGACTTTCAAATGAAAGTGATTTTAAGAATTAATTTCAAAATTGGAATTATATTTCTGGGTTGTTATTATGCAAAGTAGTATATATATTACCTAAATAATAACAGTAATTGAGGAAAATAAATCTTTTGGTACAGCTAAAATGTTATCATCAGGCTGGTGGGCTTACTTTTCTCAGATTATTGAAGTCATCAACACTTCAGTCAGTCACGTAAGCTCTAGTGTTAAACATTGGCCTCTGTTTTTAGAGACCTTTTCTTCATCCTCCTACATAGCTACTTGCACCTTTTTAATTATTTTTTTTAAGATTAAGAATATTTGCAGAGCAAAAGAGCTCCTCTTCGTCATGTTCAGCAGATATTTCCCCCAGCTTAATTGTTGAGGCTTTAGATGTCTGTAGAAGGAAAAGAAGATACACTTCTTGGGATAATCAGTTTCACATGGAAAAGTGGTTGTACAAGGTCAAAGTCTCACTGAAAAATGGAGGTTGTTGATTTTCCTGATGAAGCATTACATTTTCTATGTAATATGAATTCAAACATAGCTGTAGAGGTCTGAAGAGGCAGTCTTGTGTACTTACTGCAACAGAGGACTTGAGCACTACCAGAAGACTTTGAGATCTAATGGTGCTCAGACACTTAATATGTGACTTTAGTATTTCCCTAGATCTCTACACTTACCCGTGCTGCCATGAAACATGATACCTTTCTGCTTCACCTAAACTTTGATGGTGCTACTGTATTAGGAATTGTTCTTCTAAATATTGAAGACAAAATGAGCTAAATAAAAATTAGGCAAAGAATTTGTAGCCTAAATAGGAACCAACTAATGTGCCTGTGATGCTTGTATTTCAGATTCAGTACAAGACTGCCCACGCAATTGTCATGGGAATGGCGAGTGTGTGTCAGGTGTCTGCCACTGTTTTCCAGGATTTCACGGAGCGGATTGTGCTAAAGGTATCATTTTCCCCCGTTTACAAATAACCACAGTGTGTGTTTGTGATGTATGGATCTATAGTGCCTCCTAGTTAGCATGGATCCAAGCTACATTCAAATAGATCAATATGTTTTTATTTCTTAGATCTCTTGGTTAAATATGATCAGGTGGAAGTCTTGCTACATTGCTGATGAGCTTACATAACTACAACTTTTTTTGTGTCAAAGGTAGTAGGCAGAAATGTCAGAAGATATTTATTTTCTATAGAAGTGGATTAATTTTCATCAATGCTTTCTGATGATTATTAATTGATCTGCAACCGAAGACTGATTATCATCATTGATAGCACATAATGTATATTCTGGCTTGGCTGAGCCTTACTTCTAGTTTGTAGTGTCTTTCTTGCTTATACAATTACTCTTTGATCAAAGGAAGTTCACCTTTTTTAGGAAAATAAGTAGGATTTGATAAAGTCTTAAACCTTTTTTAAGTGTCAATTGTAAATTTTAATGACTAAAACTGAAAGATGCAGAAATGTAAAAGTCGACTATGGATTGGCAGTGTGTGTTTACTAAGTTTTTCTGAGTTTGAGATAGCTGTCGTAGGAAACAGGTTCATAAAGGAGGGCCTCTTTAGTTTATACAGCTAGTAGCACATATGTTGTCTAAATCAATGACTTGGTTGAATTGCCTGCTGTTCCTGAGCACAGTCATAACGTTTTACAGTTTGCTTCCTTCTTAGTTTGTGTGAGATTTAGGCACACTGTCAATATCGTACTTACGGTTGTTTTCCACAGGGTTAGGGTTGTTAGCATTCAAAGAGGGAAAGCCTGGTGTTTGAAAGCTTTTTAGCTTTTTGAAATGCCATGAAGGGCCTTAGAAATGTGCTTATTTCTTCTTAGACACCTGATCCAGTCCTGGGGACAGTTTGTTTTGCCCCACCTCTTTCTCTGGTGTAGCAGGGTGGCATCCAGCATGGCCATGCGTGTCTAGGAAATACTCCTTTACTAGCTTTTGTAGTCGTACTGGAGGAAAAAAATTCCATATTTAGCTCTTAAAGGTGACCCAGTACAAAAAAAAAAAAAAAAAAACAAAACACCCAAGGACCTTGGAAAGCTAGTGATGTTATTTCAGTGCTAGCCCTACTCAATTTAAAGAATGCTTCAAATACAACATGCATGTTGTTTGATTAGCTGAGAAATTAAGACACTTGGCAAATACATAGAGGAGATGTCTGTATATTACAGAGTAAATGGTGTGATAATGTGTGCTATAAATACACATTGACAGCTATATGCATTTCTGTGCTGTTAACCTGTGAAAGTATGCATGCAGTGAGTGTGTGCTTCACTGCTACTCTTCACACATACATGGCCATTAAATCTACTCATTTGCATTTTGAGTTGTGGAGCAATCCTGCATGGTGTACTGAACCTCTGTGTAACACTGTATTCTATGTTAAAGCTAGAAAATACTTCATTGAGGCTATGTCAGATAAATAGCTTTTTTATAAGGTACTTTTCAAATTGTATGTCAGGCTTCTCCTACCCCTCAGTACATTCCCTCTGCTTCCTGTTTTGTCCTTTCTGTGTTGTCTCTTCCCCTTCAAAAGCAGAAATGGTTTCTTGGAAGTTCCTTTCAACTCTCTCAGGGTTTTCTTGTTGGCCATCATGGTACTTCTAAAGAACAAAGAAGATTGACAAACTACATAAAATGACAAAGTGGGTGTCTTGACAGAATTCTCGCGTTTCTGTTCAAGCACATAGCTGCATTATATCTGGATACTATGAGAAGTGTGTGGCTGAGGTAGGGTGTAAAGGCTGTGTGCCTCACCCATTTCACAGGTACTGTCATACCTGTTCTCATGTTGACAAATTTTTCTGCTTACCTGAATGCTGATTATTTGTGAAAGCAGTTTCAGAAGACACTGAAATCAAAATTTGCATTGTATGCATGGTAAAACACAGTAGAACAAGACAGAGAATTAAATCTTTTCTAGCATATTATATGTATGGACACATGTTTAAATACATTTACCATAATGTTAAATTTATATTTAAGCTGTCACAAGTATGGAAGGATAATGATTTTCTCTCCATCTAATTTTTATTTTATTATTATTCCCCTAGCAACACATTTTTCAATGTTTCAGTTCTCCACTTGAAAATAATTTGAGGCAAGACTCAAATGTGGAGAAATGTGGATAAAATGTGAACAAGCTCCACAGATGGCTTTTAGAGCTTGATTCATGCAGTAATACAGCAGTGTAAGAGTTTCACATTGGGTGAAACCCAAGTTTGATAGATATGAATTGTGATCCTTTATACCAGTGAATCCTCAGTTACAGGGCTGATCTTGAGGGCAACAGAGGCAATGAATCTTGAGGGGAGTAATCTGCAAACTATTTGCAGATGGTGCTCAGGTACTTCCTCTACTATTTTACTCCATCCATGTAGTTCTAAAAGATAAAAATTAAGGAAATCTGTGAGAGACAGCACAGATTTTACTTCAGATACATTAGCCCCAGGAAAATACCATGACGATTATTAGAAAGATATGAACTTTTGACCCAACCTGCAGGCTGAAATACACTTTCATACCTTGATTAAAGTGGAGGAAATTTCACCCTCTCAAAAACTCTTGCCAAATACCTGAAGGTTTTATTTCTCCACTTATCTATGGAAGTAACTTATTCTCAGGTAGCCAGTACCAACAGATTTACTCCGTCCTTGCTCAGGCAAGATTCCCTTTGAAATCATTTGGAGTTTAACCTAATTAAGAATTCCATTTAACACACAAAAAAGGTAATGATACATTTTAATCTCATGTGGATAAAATATGACATATAAAGAAAATGTGGATAGTTAAAGTCAGTGGAAGATTTGCTGTAAATGGAACTGCACTGTGAGTAATATCTCATACACAATTAGCTGTAGGAGTTATTGATAAGAAATGATGCAATGGCCAAGGATCGCTTAAAGAATCACACGTGCAGCCATGATTATGATTTTTTTTTTTTAATTTCTTTTTCTGTAACCTGTATGACATAACCGCCCAAGTATATCAAGATGTCCTTCTTCCTTAGGGTTCCCATTGTTAATGTCTGATAATAGTTTGGTCTTTCAACTGCAAAGTTTTGTGGTAAATCTGCAAGCAGGCATCGTTCATCATGTCCTGCTTTTTACCACTTGTAGAGTTCAAGTGTTACAAAGAGTTGGATTCCTTGAAGTGACTCAGAGTTGGCTGTAATTTCATTTCATTGCATAATACTTTTGAAGGGCATTCGACACTTACACTCCTTTAACAAAAATACTTCCAAAGACACTGTCATATAATGTTTTGCAAATGTGTTCGGAGCCCCCTTTAATTTTTCATTTTAAAATACTAGGATTTGAATCTTAAGCATATTTAGCTGATCTGAAAAGGTGAAACAGTGTACCATCACACAAGATTTCTATGTTGACATGATGAGCATAACCTGTTAAGAGATGATGTCCAATTTGTAAAAGAAGGAAAATAAAAAGTGAGTCAAATAGCTCATGTTAGCTGCCAAGAAGCTGCCATTTAACAGAAACTTTTAGTTGATTATGTAATGTATTAAGAACATGTTTAATATTTTAATCTAAATGGGTTGAAAGGTTTTGGAGTTTTTAAACCAGAAATTTGTACCATGTTTGATCATTTGACTTTTTAATCTGATTTTAAGAACTCTAATGATTCAGATTTATGTTATACGCAGTTTCTTTTCATGTTCTGCTTGTGTGGGTTTTTCATTATTTTATTTTCATTCTGTTTGTTTTTGGCTTACTGGCAAAGGACGGCGCCACTTTAATAAGTATAAAAAGAAGGGTAGGTTTTTTTAAAACTTCTTTTTATTTCTTTTGCAACATCTATTTAGTTTGAAATAGCTACTAAGCTGTAAAGTGTAGTCTATCTCTTTTTGAATTTATTCTAATGGATTAGCTGTTTCTGATGATTGCCTACACCACAATGAGAGTTCCTACCACTTCCCTTTTCTTTGTTATGTGTGTGCTGTTAATATCTGTATAAAAATGTAAAAAGTTGACAATTATTAGGTAAGTAAGATATAATTGCTAGAAGTAGCAACTTTTGCTTTTTCTCAGTTGTTATTCAAATTTCAGTTGTTTGGGACTCTACTTGCTCTGAGGTTATTCAGAGGCTTATTGCTTGGGCAATAGTGCATAAAGTAATGGGTTTTTGTCCATTGAATACTCTGCTGGAAACTGTTCTCTTAGTGCCATGTCCAGAATGCTCCTAGTGGCATAAGAGGTTCTGGGAGTGATTGCAGTGGGGAAAACATGAACTTCGGAGTGCGTCTTGCTGATAATTCAGTACTCATTGTTATTCATTGTTGTAGAGCATGTGGCCCACATGAATGAATGGTGTCCAGCATAAGCTGGTAACATATAGGAGTTAGAATTTCCTCTCTATATAGGGAAAACAATATTTGCTTTCATAACTTGGCTAGAAGCTTTAGGAACTGAAAATAATGCAAGCAGACAGAAGCTCCCTGGATGTTGAAGGGAAAGGTGAGAGGAGATACTGAATAGCCTTTCTCCTTTCTCTGTCCTACATATGTCCATAGCCTGACAGAAGAGATGGGACCTGTGGCGAGGCAGCAGTGTGAGTCTTCCGTGGCACAGTCGAACTGGCAAATGTGTCTTGTGCTATTCAAGTGAATCACTCCAAATTTATGCAATAACAGATTATAAATCAGACAAGTGAAGTAGATTGCATTAAACATGATGGTACCCAAAGCAGATTGGTTTGGCAGAGAAAAGAGTGGGAGAAGAATAATAGTATAAGAAAAAAGCCATTTTTATGGCATTATAGAGATTGTCATGAATAATAGTACTTGTTAAAGCTAATCTATTGTGGCTAGTGCTTTACAAGCAAAACAAATAAATAAAAACAGTGTCTACCTCCAGGGATTTACCATTTCAGTACAGGTTGAAAGGGAATGAATGAGAACCAATTGACAGATGTGGAGATATAAAGAA